ACAACATTAAAGGTAGTGTGTATGTGTATGTATGAGAAACAGGCCCTTTGAAGGAGAAAGAAGCCTTTGTTTTCTGAAAAGGGGCGACTTCACCATTAAAATTCTTTTTTATGCAAACATAGTGGGGTGAGTGGTCACAGGGTACTTGGCTATTACAAAAAGGGTTGCAACTTAAAAAATGTTCAGAACTACTGCTCTACAACTGTTGTTTCTCCTGCTATTTCTGCTTATAATGGTAAAATGCAGTTTTTCTGACTTGGTGTTAACATACAGCAAGGATTGTAATCCTATAATAAAAGAGAGAGAAACTTTGATAGCAACCCATGGCATGTTTTCATAATTGTTTTTAATTTCTGTTTTAAAGCAGAAGCCTTCAAACATTATGAATATGTGAATGTGTGTGACATAAAATCTAATGGCAAATCCTCTTGGTCAAAGTACCACATGGTTGGAAACATTTAATAGGCTGAAAAACTAAGCAGGGTCATCAACCTTACCTATTCCTTGAGTTCGACATCAAAATGTCTGTTTGCATATGGATTCAAGACCTAGCATTGCACAGTTTCTAGCAGGGAAATACAGGTATTACATGGTGTTAGCAATAAAAAAATCCCATGATAACTCCTAGACTTTAACCTTGGAAATTAACTGTTTATGGATGCCCTTTAAATTAAGAAGCAGAAGTTGTATGAATAAACTCCTTATCATTTGGGGTTGTGCCATCAATCCACCCACCCTTGTTCTAAACCAATTACATTTTTATCACATCCTTGCAGCAGTCCTGATAGGCAGGTTAGGGCCAAAGTCATCCAGTGAGTTTTATGGCTCAGTTTGGACTTCATCTTGGATCTGTCTAATTGTAACCATTTTAACCATTCTGATTCTAACTACTGTACTTTAATCACATACCACACTGGGCTTCAGTTATCTTTGCTTGGAAACAGTCTGCTTTTCTAGCATGTAGTTTGTCAGTGCAAGTACTGAATGGCCCAAATATTAATCATAACTGTTTCTTAGAAACAGTTCCCTGCCAAGGTTCTCTCTGTAGCAATAACCATTAAGTATGGAGAAGGGCATGAGTGGAACTACAGGGCAACTACGGCATTAGGAGATAGTAGTCTCTGTTTGTTAGAGTGTGCCTCTCAAAAAACTACACAAAATCTGAAGATCTCAAAAAATCCTTGTAGCGTTCACCCTTTGTCAGAGATAAGTCATGCATTATTCATGTTCTATGCGAATGTGGTGGAGAGGCAGAGCTGAGAGAGAGGTTAAAAGGCGGAGTCTGAGAGGAGGAGAGTCAGTCAGAGTGAGTTCGTCAGTGAGAGTTAGTCAGAGTCAGAGAGAGAAGGAACAGATATTAATAGAGCTAAGCTGGTTAAGATAAATAGAGAAGGTGGTGATTAATTATATGGCAAGAAGAAAGTATGTATGAAGAGACCTGTGAATGATTTGCTTGTGTAGAATGAACATCTGTAGAACATCTGTGATTATTATTAACTTTGCTACACTTCAATAAATAAGTTTTGTTTGCATTCACATGTAATGTCTAATCAGACATCTTTAATATTGTGGATAGAGGTAATCCACTGGTGGCAGTGAGGGAAACAAAGACTGGAACCTTTGTGAGAGCACAAAAAGTAGGTGCCTCAAAGAGGTGAACGTCACAATCCTATGCTTAGTTTCTGGCCCACTAAATTCATTGCAGTGCATATTCATGAATGCAAAGATTTCAATCAAGGGTAATGATTTAAAATTGGAACTGAAGATGTAATAACTATTATAACAGAGCACACAGTGTTCAGCTTTGTGTCTCTTCCATTCTGCTTCTTAGAGCACTGCTATGGTGAGCGTTGTAAGTACATTACTTTTGACTTCTAAGTAGGTTTTTTTCTCTTCTACAGATTTTTCTAATCATACAAAGTTCACAGTTCCTATCTGTTGTATGCACTGATACTGGCTTTGGCCAGAATCTTGGTGGGGATTTATGCTGTCATAACTGCTAGAGATGTGCCATTCATCTCTCGCTCTCTCACTCTCTCTCTCGCTCATGCTCTTTCTCTCTTTCTCTGTGTATATATATGTTACTCCAAATCCCCAAATTCTACATTCTGGCCTCAAATGTACATTGGGCTCACTTGCAGAAAGGCTAGGCTGGAAGGGATCATGGTCAAGGGCAGACTGAGTTCAGTCCTAGTTACTTGTTAGAAAAGAAGTTGTTAGCTAGGACAACTTTTTTCTGACAGATGTGTAGGACAGAAGTCTGCCTATCCTAGGCCATGAAGCCTTCCAACTCAGCCTTTCTGCATATGAGCACAATTAGGTCTGAAAACCCCAAACCAAACAAAAACAAACAACATTTAGATCCAAAAACCTAACCGAATCAAACCAAACAAAATGGCACGTGCCTAATAAACACCATTGCACAAATGGTATCATGTGGAAGAGGCACACTGCAGAAAAGCCCTATCCATGACATTAGGTGAGTGATACTCAGCACATTGAGCATTGTGCTAGTATTTGGGTTTTCTGAGAGACCCTCCCAGTAGCAGCCAGTGAGACTTTGTCCCCCCCATCTCCAAGTTCCAGAGGTGTTCCAGCTTGGAAGTCTTCTCTTTGCAATATGGGTGTGTATATTTATGTGTGAACAACATTTATCATACTGATGGTTGTTGTAGGTTGTTGTTCACAAGAGAACACAGACAGAGTTCTACTCCTGTCCTCTGAAGATGCCAGCCACAGAGACAGGCGAAACATTAAGAAGAAAAACCTAATGAGGATAGGATCCCGGCCATGGAAGCCTTTGAGAATACATTTATCATACTGTCCAGTAATAGTCAAGTGCATGACATATTTGCTTGACTGACTGCTCGTGTCAGTTTACTATCCACAAACATGATACCGGTTTGTTTGTTAGAAAGTCAGGTGTAGAGAGTAAAAGCAGAGTACTGTATCAGTAAAACTGCAAAAGCTGTCCATGATACTTAGCTATCCTAGAGTGCCACCTAGTGTTATGGAGAGTAATAGTTATTTATTGTTTTCCAAATACTGTATGATTGTTTTAATAGTGTCTAATTTATGCCCAATTGATGTGTATTAACTTTTTAAATCCCTCTTTCAAATGGAAAAGCTTTTTACCATCTGGTTTAAAAATAAAAGTTGGTAGATGATGTTTTCTGGGACCAGTTTATTAAACAATGTAATTTTTGCCTTTCTGAAACAGAATAATAGGTCGAAAAGGACCTTGAGAGTAATTTAATTTAATCCCTTTGCAAGGACAGGCAATGCTGGGTGCAACTTAAAGCATCTGCCGCTACTGAAATAGTTTCACTCTCAAACTGCTAACAATGTCTGGGTTTTTGTCCCAATGTTTACTGAATGGTGTTCTGCTATTTCAGTGCATTAATTCTAATCATGTCTTTTGGAGGAGCAGAGCATGTGTCTTCTTTGTACTATCTCATGCGCTGGAAATGATCAGTTCCTTAAATGTCACAATTCTTTCTTTTGTTCCTAGTTTAGATTACATACAGCATATCCCCTGACAGGTTAATCTTAAGACTTTCTGAGTGAGCAGGAAAGTTCTTGTATTTGTACAATTAATCCTTTACATTCATATATACTGTATATATATCATATATATTCGTATATACATTCATATATATATATGTGTGTGTGTGTGTATACACACACACACACACACACACACATACACACACATTCAGTTCCAATTTTATGTAGAAACCACAAATGCATTAGGATCTTTTAGGAAAAAATGGTCCATATGTTGTAAAGTTCTAGAAATCTGGAATGTTAAGATTTGCACTGATAGACTTACACTAGGATTCATGTTAATTAGTCATGAAATGCATTGTCTCCCAGCCTGCTTTGCAGGATATTTATGAAGATGTCACCCCGGGTTTTCTACGGGAATCATGCAATGTAATGTAACAAGTACTGTTTTTACCTACATTGAATGCCATTTGTTTGACACACCTTTTAAAGGCAGGCTCCAGAATTAACACCTATTAGCTATGTGCAAGCGTGATAGTTTGCTGTTTTGATTTTGTTTGAGATAATAAGTTCCACCTTAATCTTCTAATGTGACTAGATATCCAGATGGGTATCTAGATTGGTATTTGGATCATTGTTGGTACAGTTTGGTTCAAACCAAATTGTATTGCCTATATGTTTCTATTTAGATCAATCTGTCCTATCCCACTGCTTCCTGATATAGGGTAGGGACTCTTTTTTGCATGATTCATCACACTCCTTATTATCTCGTTTTGTATGTAATTCATATCCAATTGTAGCTGTGTGTGGTATTATCAGAAGTGACAACCCTGTGATGTAATAAGTGGTCTGTAACAATAAAAGGGAGGATGGAGAAAGCCTCTCATCTATTTTCATCTTTTTTTAAAAGAAATATTTTCCTACGATTCTGATACCATGCTAGGCTGATGCATTGCTCTTTTGATATTCTACTTACTTTAACAACAAAAAGGAAGCCAATGTGGCCCCAGAATGACAGCTGTGAGAAAAGGCAGCAGCTCAGTCCTGGCTGAGGAAAAAGGTGGAGAAAAAACAGGAGTTACCTGCCTTATGTCTCTCCAATCTTCACTCCATTGTTTTCCCCTCATGCCAGTACCACTGCCATTGCCTCCTTACCTGTGCGTAAACTGGTCAAAGTTGCATAAACCAGGTAAAATTTACTCATAAGTAAACCAGCAATGGAAAGACCTTTGTGGATCCTTCCCATGGGGGAAATAAACCTTTCCTCCAGCGTGAAAGGAAGGATCGCTCAAGTGAGAGATAAAATAGATCACCCTGAATATACGAACCTTTTAAATGTGAACCAGACTGCTCCAAATTCCCCCACCTGGACAGACCCAAAGTGAGGCAAATCAAGCAATACTTTCATTGATTTATTTTCATTTTAGAAATTAATGTATTTCATTATCTAAGGAGTGGCCTTGTTGCTGACATGTCCCTCTTTATACTGGCAGGTGTAGAAACTTCTTCTCCCAAGGGAAGACTTGGTTCTCTGAAGTCCACACCAGGATCTTGGACCACTTCTGGTAAATCAGTTCCTAAATCGAAAGTCCCCATAAGAGAACCAGGACTCCGGAGAACCTCTAGCATCTCTTCCATCAGTAGCACTCAGAGCGACCAAAGTACTTGCAGCAATAATTGTAAGTTACTCGGAGGATCCAGGTTTTTCTCTAGATACAAACTGAATAAAAACCTAAATGGTTTGTGATTTACCTTTTTGAAGTAGTTAACTTTGTTTTCCCTTCTCCCTGAGACTATCTCCTAAACACTGTAGAAGCTAATAGTTGGGATAATGCTGTTTGGACCTCTGACATGAGTTATGCATATGTATCCCTATCCTTGAGTTAGGCAACATTTTCTAGTGTTACAAGAAGGACCTCTTGTAACTTAAAGTTTATTCCTGTGGAGATTGGACAGGTCACGCATAGCTACTAAATAGATAGGTCCTACCTAGCCAGTCTGTTGTACTGTCTAAGGAAGCATATGGTCAATGGTTCATTGCCTTGTAAGCAGGCAAGAATTCTCTTTTAGGTCGAGCTTTTCCATAGGGCAAAGGCTATCCACTTCTTGGGTTAAAGGACCTACCTCAGGCACTAAAAGTGGTAGTCTTGCGCCTGCACCCAAGATCATTATATCTTTAGGGAGAAGTGATTCTAACAACTCCCATTGTTACATGCGTAGCTTTTTGTATTTATTTTTTAAAAACTGAATTTCCCTCTTATAGGAGGAGGTGTTTAAATTTTACTAGGCTTTCAAGTAAGAAGTAATAAGCTTAGAAGAATGCTTTAAAGTACATGATTTAAGCATAACAGAAATTAAGGCTAAATAAGCTCCTGTGAACCCTGATTATTGCCTGTTCTGTTACTGCCTTGAGCTTTGTTTAAAAAACACACAAACAAAAGGAAGAAAAAAGCAGAAAGAAGCAGAATGAGGATTTAGGGGAAGAATTTGTGCCTTATATTAAAGAGGTAGAAATCTGCTGTATAAGGAGGGGGGGATATTATGCTAAAACCTTGCTGAGCTAAGGAAGCAAGCACTGGCATAGACTTAATAATGACTCTTCGCTGCTTCTTCCTTTGTAACATAAATCCTCCCCATGTGCAATTTGCTTTTTCAAAAAAAACAAAACAAAACAACGGCATAATATTTACATTTGGTAGCATGCGTGACTCCTACAAACAGGCTGATTCTACACTGACAGCCATGTTGAGGGGTGGGTTGGGTTTTTTGTGTTTTGTGTGGGTTTTTTTTGTGGTGGTGGTGATTTTTTGCTGTTCAGGTTTACTACTGGCTGGATCACCTCAGGAGGTTGTAAATGCTGTGCTCTGTTTCTTTTCTTTGCTCTTAACAAAGAAAAGGTCTTTGCTGCATAAAAAAGAAATGTTCTTTTCAGATTAAGTATCCAGTTGATGACTCTTTGTTAACCTGATTTGCTAGTTGGCTTAATCTGTTTTGTCTCCTGCCTCCAAGCTTACAATTTTTTTCCACTCTAATTCACTAAGAGCAAGCGTTGGGAATACGGAGAGGGTGAACATGGCTGCAGTCTTTCGGGCTTTGAGCTTGCTTTGATCATTTTAAATGACTATACCAGGAGGACTTCGCAGTTGCACAGAAACTGATTTTTCTCCTCATATTTTCACCAATTCTACCTTAACACCACCGGCAGGAAGCCACTACGATATTACCTTACTGATCTTGCTGGTAGTGGGATCTTACAGCTTTTGTATAATTCCTTTGTTAGCCACATGTACTGGGAAAAGAAGTAGGTGATCTTTTTTTTTTAAAGGGGTGTAGTATGTTTCTTGACTTTCTGAATAAAATGAATATATCAAATGGAATGCTTATTAATTCTGAACTTTTAGATTTTTTAAAAAAATTATTGGTGGGAAGAAGAATGTTATCCGAGTATATGCCTGACTTGTCTTATTAAGCCATAGTCATACCTCGAAAATGTTAGCTGAATGCATTTCTAATTGTTGAGTGATATTATCTTGAGTATCTTGGATGTGATTTTTGTAAGTACATCCTTCGTTTTTCTTCTTTAACCTCGTTCTCTCTTTCCCCCCCATCCCCCGCTGTCTGTCCATGTGTGGCTTTGCTCAGTATGCTTTGGAGTCAGACAAATTAGCCACCAGTGGTAGACAGTATGAAATCTCCCACTGTCAAATTTCTAGGGCATTCTAAGGTCAAAGTAAGATGCTTATTCAGGCTGGCTGTTATAACTGAAAATTAATGTATTTCTGTGGATGGTTATTGAAGGAACCAAACACAAATGACAATTCTGTAGCTGTGTGTGCTCAGTGCTTTCTGTTATTCCCTTAAAAATCTTACGTTATTTCCATTGTGTTTCTGTGTGTTTTAACACTAGATTTTTCTGCCAGTCGTTTCTTTACCATTTTGAGTCTGTCTTTGTAAAAAAAAAAAGTGCAAGGAGAACATTTAAACTGAGCTTAAGCCAGGATAGTTCCTTTGATACATACATACATACATACATACATACATACATACATACATACATACTAGAAGATGTTTGGATGAGGGAATAAGATGTCATATGGGAAGAAACACTTCCTTATGTTTATTTTATATCTTTATTTTAACTATTGTAAATTCCAAGTACTGTATACCTTTCCTAGGAATGATAGTATGCTCAATAAATACATTTTATTGAAGACTAAACCTTGAATGTTCAGATTAAATTCATGAATGAATGAATGTTGGCATTCACACATTAGTAAAGTTTTAATCTCCAAATTTTGCTGTGCTTCATTAAACTAATCAACAAGTTCAGCACTGTATTAAGGTAATCAGATCCCCAAATACTGCAACAGTTCTTCATGTCATTTTGGTGATCAGCAAACAATACGTCTTTATATTATTAGGGTGTTTAGTGGTTTTACCTAGTCATCACTTGTCTAAGGTGGCATTTGTTTTTACCCTAGCTAGCAGAGCAAGTGTACTAAATGAAATTCTGTTTAATTTTCTTGCAATATTACATGGCCAAGATTGTATAATGCTATCAGTGAAATAGGTCAATAGACCATGCTTTCATTGATCTACATTCTGTCTCAGGACAAATCTATCAGACCTAGGTTGCTAATAAACAGGGGTGCTTAAGCAGGTGCTTAAAGAGATAGTCATAAAAATCTAATTTGAGCAAACACATTTGTAAAATAGGCTGAATCTGGAGTGCAGTATGGCATTTTAAAAACATGTTAGAAATATTGGAACTGCAGTCTTGAAAAAAGAAGGTGAGTAGAATATTTGAATTATTGCAAAACAAAACATTGGGTAACGCCAAGAGTTGTATAACACCAAGAAAGCAGTGTGGAAGGCCACATCTACATCTGTATCTATCTATCTGCCTATCTCCTTCCCACCTTTCTCCCAAGAAAGGAGTAACTAAAATAAATACAATTCTGAAACAGTATGAATATTGGGATAAAAGGTTAATATAGAACTGAAACACAAATCAATAAAAGAAAATGGCACCATCCATTTAAACTCCAGAGTCAGTAGGAAATTCTTTTCCATACCCCCATTAAAGGTGCCTCTGAAACTGGTAGGACTAAGAAGCTGCAAATCTCAAAGGCTATGTTGGCTCACATTGTTAAGAGGTCAGGAGTCTTGTTTCTGCTGTATTACGGCATAAGCTTTTGTAGGTTCATGAGATACAGCTTAGTTTCTTGACAGTGATATGCTCTTATTCAGTGGGTTGGATTCGAAGCACCAGCATGATTTTCTTTTTAAGTGGGCAGTTCACATCTCATTTTCTACTGGCAACAGAGGTAGCTTTTTCTGTGTACTGTATTAGGAAGTATGTGAAGAAGCCGCAACTGGAGAGTGAGACAGTCTCATGCAATATGTACTGTAATTTTCAGAGGGAGTAAAACCTCAAAGTTGGTTTCTTAAGTCGGTGGAAATATATCTAGATTTAAAAAAAAATATTTTGTTTGTTTGTTCAGTATATTATTTAGCAGGAGTTGCTTCTAAAAATATAGTAATTAATTGGCTCTTGTTTAAACTGGCAGTATGTTAAGATTAAGGGAGCAAAATGGGATGCATTGTAAATACTGGGATGTATCAAAGATTACACTTGAATAAAGGATGGGGAGAAGAAAGTTGCATTATAGAGTTAATTGAGTGAGCAGCTAGGTTTACAGAGTCATTAGTATAATACAGCGATTATTAAAGAAAAACATAGCAGGGAGTGTATGTATGTGTGCATGTACACAAGTTCATCTGTGTGGCTGCGTGTTGTGAGCTGGTAAATCAGTGCTATTTATGTACACAAACACATTACCTTGGGCTCATTGAGACAGAAAGAAGGAAAATATAAATTTAATTCTGTAGCTCTTGGTCCTCTATACCTATGACTTTGTATGAGAATCCCACCAGTATATAAGTCGGTGAGCTTCAGTCCTTCACACTTGGGATTCTTTATCAATTTAATAAGTACTGGGTTTTAATGTATCCATTTACTGCTTGTGCAAAGGCCAACTGAAGATAATATTTCATGCATTTGATGGAATGGACTAGTCCCTAAAAGATTGTGCAATAATAATTCTAGGGCCAAGTCTATCATTAGACTGAAGGAGGTAACCCCTCCCCGGTGGCAAATGTCCTAGGGGCCCCCAGCCCATTCTGTTCTGTCAGAGGACAGAGGTGCACGTGATTCTCTAGACTGCTGTGCCAATGATGCTATTTCATCACCAGGACTGAAGTATATAAAATAAAGAGACAACTCTCTCTCATTCTTTGCCTCAGGCAGCAGAATGTCTTTGGCAGACCTTATATAAATTTGTTAATTTTTATAATACCACAAGACTGTTCATTGTGTTTGTTTCTATAGACCGGCACAGTATACAGTATTCTCCAGTAGCAAAGAGATATTAATATTCTGATTTTTTTCTTGATATGCAGGATTTAAACTGAATTTTACTACAACCCTGTGGCTTGTTTCTTTTCTTGGCAGCTACAAGTGCCACCATTATCATCAAGAATGGAGATTGGCCTTCCAAGTCGGCTTTTCAAAATGGTACACCTGGATCAATCTCTGTGAAGCCATTGCCCAGGCCAAGAGTTCTTTCCCTGAAAAACACCCCAAAAGGTATCTGGTTTTTTTTAATAAAAGGGTTCAATTTGCTAAGTCAAGCAGTTTTTCCTTCTCTTAGGAAAGGACATAAGATACAGGAGAAACTATAAAATTGCTGCAAATGAAACACTAGCTAGGAAGTCAACAGACCGAGCGCTGCTACTGCTGCTTGTTTGAGTAGCAGCAGTGTAACTCAGCAAGAGTTGATCTGGTTCAGTGGGGTACCTGACAATGGAGCCAGGGCTTGGAGTTTGAGTCCCCCTTTTCTCTCCTGGGGGAAAGGCCAAACTCAATCATCTGGTGTATGTGTAGATGATGGCCAGCTACACAGTTCCAAAGTGCCACCAGACAAAGGGACTGGTAAGCCATTTTTAGTACATTACATCTAGAAAACACTAGGAGGGTTGCCACAAGTTAGAAACAAGTTGATGGCATATCATTAATTCAGTAGTCTGCTCAGAACTGGACAGACCGTACAGAGCGTTGGTCCCAACCAAGAAGTATTTATAGATTACACTAGACAGTTGAGATTAAGTGAAGGGAAAATATCAGGGTTTCAAGAAAAGGCTGGCACTTCATCCTGTGTGTGAAGCAATTGCAGTGAGGTGGCATTCTTTGTGGGCTGGGAAAAAAAGAGCAATATATAATGCTTGCAGTTCCATTTCTCAGCCTTGAATGGCCACAAAAGATGGCTTGATGATGTCATAATGATATTTCTTATGTCAAAAAGTGGGCTCTAGTGTTATTTCAGATTCTTGACATAGATTTTCCCATCCTCCTCCTCATTGTCAAAGCCAAGATCCTCTTCTGATCTTCCTGTACATAGGGGATCGATGGGCGAAATAAAGTTGTTTTCTGGATAAGAATGACTCTCATTCTTTAAATGTTAAGGGTCTAAATAGACACCACAAAAGAGATGAAGGTGCATCTGCAGTTCTATTTTACTTCTTTCTTCTTCTTCTCAACCTGAATGAATAACGAGACACTAGCATGTCACTCCTCCGTCTTATGCCTTTGACTGGGCTGGAGCAATGCGCAGATACTAGCTCACATCATCCCATGTGTTTAGGTTGAAAGGAAAGAGAAGAGTATAGGATGATACATATTCCACAGCAGCAATTCAGCACTCCTTTGCAGTGTAGAGTTAGACCAGATGTGGGCAATATGTGCCTGCAGGCTGCATGGCCCCTCACCCACCCAATTTTGTAGACCCAGTTACTAACAATATACATTTATTTGATTTACAAAAAAGAGAGAGTCACACTTCTGTAAGAAAAGTATATCCCATTCTGTCTCATGTCCTGCTCTGTGCAAAAATATCTTAAAAAAAAAAAAAAGAAACTTGAAGTACTCTTTTGGCCCTGTCATATTTCATTTGCATGGTGGAATAATGGCAGATCCCTATAGGAGGGAATTAGCCTCTGACCCACTGAACAGGCCTAGCCTCAAGGCAGAACCTCAGTGTTTATCTATTGTAATGTGAGTCTGTTAAGATGAAGAACAACAACTGAGCGCAGTATATTTTTGGTCTATACATGTTGCTTAGTGTTTTAAAGTTTAAAATCTAACCAAGTTTCTTTGTGTGTTGTTATTTTGTTTTTAAAGGAGTAAAAAGCAAGTTAAGCTCTGGAAGCCAATGTACACCAAAATCAGCCGGGTCAGTTCTTCCAGCGAGGAAGATTGCTGATGCAAGAGGCAATAATCAGCGGTTGGGTAAAGTATTAATCTTATCCTTACTGTGTGGTAATGTGATTAAGGCCATAAGATCATCCTTGTAGCTTTATCTGCTGGATAGCTCAGTGGTTAAGGCACGTTGCAGAGCCAGAGGTTCAGAGTTCAATTTCCTGCTGTGCCTGCTAGACAGGCTGGACTTGATGGTCCATAAGGTCCCTTCCACCTCTGCAGTTCCAAGATTATTATTTTTCCATCTTTCTTTTTATTATAACACGGCTGATGGATTAATTAACTGGCATGGTGCTTGTGCAGCATATCAGACCTAAGATGGGAAATATGACTACTGTCTAAGTGTAGTAGACTTTTAGCCCAGAGGCAATTAAGTATTTCCCTCTAAAGTATATAGCTGTGATGATTTCTAAGTGACTTCAAGAGTGTGTGGAGGGAAATCAACACAATGTGCAGTTACACGAGGTGCCAGGCATAATTAAGCCTTTTCTCTCACTCCTGGAAGGATGTGCTTATTTTAAAAATGGGAGCATGCATTCTTGTATCAAAAATAGAGGGTTCCATAATGAAACGTGGTACATATTCAGATGGTGTTCCTTTAGGAGGAGACCAGTGGTGTTGACAGTATTGTTCTTAGCAAAACAGTCTGCAGTATAACAACTTGGGATTCCTATCTGAATGATCAATTGTTGTTGTTTTACATTATTTCTCTTGAACTTGTGTCACTTTTTAGAAGAGCAAAATATACCACTGGATGATATTTCACATCCCTACTATTTAATTTATCCATTGTAAGAGCACAGCTATCAGACACCTTAAAAATACTAATCTAGAGGGCAGACTGAAGAATTTACTCAAGGCCAAAGCACATTTTTAACATACAGTTCCTATGGCTCTCTTTTTCAGCTGGAAAAGCTGTTCTAGCAAGGATTCTACGTAAGGTCACATAAGTGGAGTAATTATTGGCACTTGTTATTTCTCTGTATATGTCACCACCAACACTTTTTGAAAGTGTCCCTTTCAACCTGATTATCAATGTGATGTTTTATTCATAATAGAGAATTAATGAGAAGGGGGCAATTAGATTTGGTTTTCAGTGTGATAGATGTGGAAAATCCTGAGTCTTCCTCCTGCTTATTCATTTACAACTGCTACTTTCTGAGGTAGTGCTTCCAGGTTTGTTTCTAAAGAGTTATTGGGCTACTATTTATATGTTGTACACTTGTATGCAGTTTAGCCCTTCTGATCTTCATAGTGTATCAATTCATAAAAATGATAATGAATTGCCATCTTAGGTTTTTTTTTCTTTTCTCCCCTTCATAGCGCCTTCAGGACAAAATGGATCCCGAAATATATTCTCAACATTCAGTTCTGGTGAGTAATTTTATACTGTATCCTCTTCTTTTTCCTGATCTTAAATGTACTATGCCAAAAGGAAGCATTCCAGTATGTGTATACAAATGTTGCTGCTGTTGTAGTAAAATCTTTTGTGACAACTCACAAGTTTTTTTTTCTGGTGCTTAATTCTGGATATGGCAATTATACAGTGATGAGGCATTTTTCAAGCTATGTGCTGAAATTTTATACTTTTACATTTAATTCACACAAATGCTCTCTTAGTCTCCCCTTTTGTAACCGAGATTGTGTACAACATGTACTGAAAGTGGAAGCTCCAACTTTTGTCAACTACTCTTGAGTGATTTTGTCCAACTGGATTTGACCAGAACTTGGTGAGAATACAAGCCCTTGAGGGAAAGGCTTGGGATGGAGTGGAGACAGTGATATAGTGGTGCATTTAGGAGTGCAGGGCTGGCACACATCTTGACAGATGTAATAGCCACATTTTCAGTGAATGTCCAAAAATGGGCAGCTTTCTTAATCCATCCATCTCTCTCTCTCTCTCTCTCTCTCTCTCTCTCTCTCTCTCTGTGTGTGTGTGTGTGTGTGTGTACAAGTGAGCTGGGAAAGGTTACTGTTGCTGGTAGCACATTGGACCTAGGTTTGTTTTAGAAAAGGGGAACACAACAAAATTTAATAGTATCCCCCACCAGAATGTGGTGTTCAGTAGATTATCCTCCAACGAAGCACAGTGCTCAGTATGAGAACATTTGTTACACTCTTGCCTTTAGAACATCATCCTTACATGTAAGCAATTCATTTATTCATCCAGTGTAATTAATTTCTGCTTTTCTGCCAATAAATGGCCTCAAGGCAGCTTACAAAATATTTTAAAAATAAGTATAGAGAATTAAAAATGCAATAAAATATAATAGTAAAAATTTAAAAAAAGAAATAATTCAGCATATTTTATGCATTTCATATTGCATTACATATCCCATTCCGCTTGCTCAATAGATCTTCAAGCACTGACGCTTTATTTTTTTACCTCTGGATAAACCAGTAGGCAGCATATTTTATGCATTTCATATTGCATTACAGATCCCATTCCGCTTGCTCAATAGATCTCCCGGCACTGACGCTTTTTTTTTTTTACCTCTGGGTAAACCAGTAGGCAGGAGGAGTTGCTGCAGAGCCTCCTGGGAGAATGCTCACAAGAGGAGAGGCCTCACCCAGCCAGAGCCCATGCTATGTGTTTTTCCCATTATGTTCAGTTTGAACAAAATCTTCCCTCTTCCCCCAGTAATTAATTGATGCATGCAACAAAAAATCAAAATGGCCCTTTCATGGGAAAATAAATATTAACCCCATCCAATGCTGCTTTTGGTTCATAGTCCTATGAATAGTATGCTCACTAATATTGTTATTTGTGCATTTATTTCCATTGTTTATTTATGTATTAAATTTACACTCATAAGTTGAATTGTCCACACTTCAAGCTGTTGAAGAAGATTCTGCAGTTCCTAATGAGAATGGCCAGCTGTTGAGAATGATAGGATTTTAATCAGACATTTGGGAAGATGCAGATTCCCCACCTCTGTTGTAAGAGACACTTTTCATAGGTGCACTGAGCTTTGTGGGACCTGCTTCTCCATGGAGTCATGGCATATAGCTTTTGGCTGTATCTACATTTCAGTCACGCGGATATGGCTGCAATACAGTCTTCTCCTCCGGATCATCTAATTTCCAGTTTGCCTTTTTCTGTTAGAATAAATATTAAACAACTTTAACGTTCAGCCGAAACATAGAGAATCAGCTGCACATTATCTATCAGGTTTGTCAGTTTGATTCTTTGAATCCTGTGCAATACCTAAAGGAGTGCAAAAATAAAACACGTGTGTAATTATAGTGATTTCACTTATTATTATTATTATTATTATTATTATTATTATTATTATTATTATTATTATTATTATTATTATTATTATTATTATTATTATTATTATTATTATTATTATTATTATTATTATTATTATTATTATTATTATTATTATTATTATTATTATTATTATTATTATTATTATTATTATTATTATTATTATTATTATTATTATTATTATTATTATTATTATTATTATTATTATTATTATTATTATTATTATTATTATTATTATTATTATTATTATTATTATTATTATTATTATTATTGAATTTATACCCCGCACCATCTGGCAACCAGGCCACTCAAGGCAGCTAACAACAAGATAAACAGCACAATATCAAAACACGATAAAAAATAAAATAATACATACATTCAACAAATATAATAACCAGTAGGATAAATTAAAACAGATGGCAATGAAGGTGGTAAAAGGGATAATGAAAAGGATGACAAAAAAGAATGGTAAAAGGGAGGCTGAGATCTCAAAAAACCCTAATACTCAGGGAAAGCCTGGCAGAAGAGCCAAGTCTTCAATGCTCGCTTGAACCCATCCAGCGAGGGTGCCAGGTGGGTCTCAATGGGCAGGTTGTTCCACAGTTAGCCCCACGTAGAGAGCACTGCAGTAGTCTATTCTTGAGATTACGAGGGCATGAATCGGCATTGTGAGTGCCCCCATGTCTAGATAGGGACACAGCTGGGCAATCCTCCGAAGAAGGAAATGGGCTATCGAGACCACAGATGTCACCTGGGTTTCTATGGTGAGACCCGGGTCCAGGCAGAGATGCCCAAGCTGCGAACCTCAATCTTCGTGGGGAGAGTCACTTCCCCAAAGGAGAGGGAGTTTACCAACCCACTAACGCTGCACCCACCCATGCACAAGATTTCTGTCTTGTCCAGATTCACCCTCAGTCCATTTGCCCTCATCCACCCCAGGACGGTCCCCAAGCAGCATTCAAAGTTTGGAACAGCATCTACTGCAGTTGGAAAAAAGGAGAGGTAGAGCTGGGTGTCATCAGTGTACTGATGGCACTGGGTCACAGAACTCCGGATGACCTCACCCAGTAGCCTCATAGAGATATTAAATAGCATTGGGGAGATGATCGACCCCTGCGGAACTCCACAATTGAAGATGCATGGGGTGGAAGTCATCTCGCCAAGCTGCACTCTCTGGGGATGTCCTCCAAGAAGGAATGGAGCCACTCCAAAGCGAGGCCACCAATCCCCAACTCAGAAAGCCGCCCCAGGAGGATATCATGGTCGACTATATCAAAGGCCGTTGACATATCAAGGAGAACTAACAAGGTCATATTGCTCCTGTCGGCCTCCCTCAGGAAGCCATTCTGCAGGATAACCAGTGCTGTTTCCGTACCATGCCTGAAGTCCAACTGGAATGGATCAAGGACATCAGCTTCCTCCAGGATTGCCTGGAGCTGATCGGCCACCACCCTCTCGACCACTTTACTCAGGAAAGAGACATTGGTCAATGGGCCTATAATTCCCAATTTCGTCCGCCGCCAAATTAGGTTTCTTTTGAATGGGCCTAATGAGTGTCTCCTTGAGGGAGCCATGCCCTTCTGGAGAGACCCATTAATTATTGCAGTGGCCCAATATAACATTGAAGATTATTTTGCCTTTATTGTAGTGCACAAATTAAACTGGAAATATGTATTTAATAAGACATTCAGTTTTAGGTTGACAATTTTACACATTGGCTGCAATTTTGGAGCACAACAATAAATCTGTTTAGCAAAATCTTATTTTGACAGGGCTGTATCTGTCAGCCACAAGAGAGAAACATTATGCACTAACTAGGACTGCTACTTAACATGCAGTGGTAACTGTAGGTGTCTTGCTGATACTCCTGAGCCCATGGATGTAAAAAGGGCCCCCATGTTATCGGCTCCATCTCAAAATGTCTTCTTGTTTACTAAGTAGTTGGATAATTACTATTGTGACATCATCTAGAATTGACTTAGTGAATCAAGATAGCTCAAGTTTTCACAGCAATAAATAGAATATTAAAACAAGGCAGGCAGTGACTGTCCAAATACTTGTATAGGAGTGTTTTGTTCTTAAGAGCTTTGGACACAGCAAATGTTAATTATTGAAGGGTAGCATTATCAAGAGATATTAGATCACGTAACAAAGAACTAAGAAATATATTTACATCTAGGGATAAGTAATAGGGAAAAAAGGGGAGCTTAATGGCTGTAAATAATGAGACTTCAGGTTACTTTTGGAAAAAAAATCAGTTGGGAACAATTGTTTCATCCGATATGTGTCCCTTAGATGTGTGCAGATTATATTTTGAACTCTCTCCAAGAATTCCCCAGGCAGTTATGCAAATCTGCATATGTCTAGTCTCTGTCTTTGTGGCAAAATATACAATAAGTTTGCAGAACATTGCCAATGATGTTGTAGAGTGATAGCTCATCATCCCCTGGATATGTATTTGTGTGACAAGTATTGATCATGCTGCTTGCATACCACCCCTGGTATGTGTGACAATGAAATATGATCTCAAGGTAATTTTAATGAATCAGTGTTCTCTGTGTTAATTTTATTTTGCAGCATAGACTACATTTATAGATTTTTGCAATAGTTCAAACTGTTTCCTAGAAACGCTCAAAAATTAAGACTGATGCAGAACTACCACCCTCAAAATAACCTAATAGGTACTGTCTCCTCCACTGCCATTATCTCCAGCAGTTCTGAAACTTCACTCTCTTTCCCCTCTGCTTATTTTAATGGACTACATGGACCTATCCTTTAACAACAAACAACTAAACAAGTGTTTGGAGAGATCCAAAATTCTGTAGGCACTTAAGACCTCCAGATTATAAATGAAATTACGGTAACATAAATGTTTAATACTACTAGGAAAGACAGTATGAGGCAAACGGACTTTTGATTTTACTATGGTGGTTATTGAACTCAGCAGTAGCTGGATTTCTTCTCTCAGGTTCAGTGAGCCATTCAGTGGGGGCAGAGGGAGAAGATTCAGTTAGGACAATTGCGACCAAAAGGAAACAGACCTTTCTGGGAAGGTGAGGAAAGAAATGCTGCCTCTCGCCCTCTGTCTCTTCCCCCAAGG